AAACCATAAAACAAATTGTATGACTTCCATGCTTAATGTATTTTTGGCTTTTCTCACGATTACAAAATGTATTAATCATGTATTATTTCACAGAATGAATGCAGACTTGAGGCTGTCAACACATTTACATTGAGATTTTCCCAGAGCGACTCAATTATGTTATAATTTGAAAATAGAAAACACGTTTATTTGGAAAAATGAGTGAAAATCTGTTTTTTTTTGTTATAATTTACACAATACAATCTATGTGACTGGGTGTGTAAACATGTAAGCGCCGTCATTTTACAGTCAATAACTCAATAATCCCATTCACATGTACAGTATGTATGTTAATGTATTTTTTCCCAAGCTACTGTCATAATCATGTCTGCCGCGGCCATACATTGTGCGGCTAATATTCAAATCAAATGACTGATTGTCGATCACGTCCTGTTCTCCCTGGAGCGCTGACACCACTTGAGAATAAATGTTCCTTCTGTAATGCGCACATATGGCCCCGCAGCCTGTAATGCCCGCTCAGGGTAAAATATGTATAATCCACACGGTGACGGCGTTCAGCATAATGACTGTGTTCTGTGCATGTGGTCGTAACAGGTGACGCTCGCAACCTGCAGAGACAGACCACACTGTACAGGGATCTTATGTGATCTGTGGCTTTAACTCCAGAAATATCTAATGTGTGACGCGATGTGTAAAAATCTATTGCAGATGTTTGGTATCTCCTTTTAAAAGCTATTACTACTAGCTTTTACTTTAGTCACTCCTTTGGGAATGAAGTGTGACTGCACCCTTAAAAAGGTTTATGGATTTAAAAGTCTGTGTCAAATATTTCATTTAGGCAAATTTAGATCTAAATAATTACTTTAAATATTACTTTAAAGATTCAATTATCATTAGACAGGCCTTTGTTGGAGATCTTTGAGGGAACCTTGAAATAGATGCGTATGTGAGAGAAAATAATACAGCAATTAGTACAGCTTACAATCAAAGCTCCATCCTCATAACAAACAAACAGACTTCTGTTCAATGAAAAATGCACATAAAGGAAAGATATCTTGGTTTTATTATAGGGACAGTATGTATTATACACTAATTCAGCTAGAAACAGTATAGACTGTGTATTACTTATACACTACTACTTATTTTTCTGCTTTCATTTAAACAAATGTGTGGTGCTATATGTTTTAGTGAATTGTGTTACTGAAAAAAGAACTAACCATCTGGTAGAAAATTGTTAACATAATACGAACATCACTATTGTAGTTTTAATTAAGATACAACATTAATTTAACACTTCAAAAAAGGCCAAATATGATTTCTACATGTTGACCTGTAATCTGGGAACACATACAAAAGCTTTAGATGTCATTTAAAATGAAAATGTTACAAACAGTTCCTTTCAGATGTTATTTCAGATGTAGCTTTGGAAAGGTCCTTGTTGTTAGCGTGTACTTTTACCTTGCTGTTAGAAAAGATGTACGTAATCCTTTGTTTCTAGTGTGTTCCCGGCGCTGTGTGCCCCACTTTGCAGCACACTGAAGATCTTCATTAGTCTAATTAAACCTGATTTACTCCCCGCACTTCTCCCATTTAGGCAACATTTTACAACAAAAACAGGTTTTTTGCTGTTTTCACATCTGCACTTACTTATTGCTTTTGTCTCACATATCATACTTTGATCTTAGGAGAAAGGGTAAAAAATGGAGAGTTTCATCCAAATTGATGCATTCACTTGCATCAGACCAAACAATAGAAACCGTTGAATAAAAATCTACATTTCAAATATAGATCACCAAAAATCCGGATGCTCTGTCAAAGCCTCGTTAGTTCCTGTGCCTCCTCTCCGCTCACGGCTTACGGCTCCTCCAAATATGAAATTCAAATTCTGCTCCATAATTGTCATGTTTTCGTCACACTTCAGGAACATTCAGTTTAAGTCACTGCCACATTTTTACCAATGCATCATATGAATTTAGTATAGTTATTTGGTCATGAAAAAAAGAAAAATCCTGCCTATTTTTAGAAATTCAGCTTGATTTTGAACTTAAGCTGCAGTTCATTTTGAGAAGTGAATATTTATTTATTTCAATTCAGTAACAATGTGTCAACCTAAATAAGGTGGAATCAACACAATTGCATCCTTACGTCTATTCTCACACATTTAGACAAATAGTTACATGACAGTTAAAAACATATTAGAAAGACAGTCTAGTTGAGCCTTAGTTGTATATATTTACTTTGGTTTATATTTCAGGGACATTTGTTTTAGACATATCCACCTGCCGTTCTGTGGAGGGTCCTTTAAGCCTGATGACTTTGTTTTTCTTCTGTGCTTTTGCTGCGCTCTTTTGTGACACAGGGATATCCACTGGCCCCCGCCCCGCCCTGCTCCCACAGATTGTAAACTGACCTTCACCAAGACGCGATCAGCCCCAGCGTCCACAGGTCACCTCCGGCAGCGGGACAGGGGCAGGACCGGGGCTAATGACGCCGGGACAAGGGGCCACACATGTATTTAACTCAGTGTATACGCCTATATACTGTAGCTCCACTTCTGCTCTCTGGGAAATCCCATTTTTCTTTTCATTGGTGTAGATCGCGAATGCTTTGTGTGCTCTTTTAGGAAAAAAAAAGACTCACTTGTACCGACTTTTCTATCCTTAGACAGGCGCTTATCTCTTCGTTGTAGTCTTTGTGATTTGAAACGTTCTTGTATAAATTCAAGAGAGTCAGCAGAAGTCCTCATTGTCCTAGTGAAGACTGTATGCTATAAATGAAATGTCTTCTTAGAAGAATTTTTTCTTCTTGAGCTGATCAGTTGATACATTATACATATATTTGTGAATGTATTATTATTGATACATGGTGAAACTATGTTGAAGGTGATGTCAGCAACTTAAATAGTATTTTTATTTTTATTTATTTATAATGTACTGTACATGTTTGACCATAGAACCATGTATGATTATCTATTCAATTAAATTAAATGTATTCTTGTATAGCCCTAAATCACAACAGTAGTTAGCTCAGAGGACTTAACAAAACCATTGAAATTGCCAACACGGATCAGAGAATCAAACAGTTCAAGCACAAAGAATAGAGAACACATAAGTATTGGTCCATAGAGGGAGTTGACCAATGACCAATTGACACTAAATGTCCAACAGACCCTCCTGCATTGGCAAGGAAAAACTCTGAAACCCATCGGGAGAAATGTGAGAAACCTCGGGGAGAACCATATTGAGAGAGGGATCCGCTCCACACAGAAGGACGGGCTGTAGATCCAGGACCTAAGCTACAGAACGTGGACCAAGGCCATGCAGCGGTTGTAGGTGTGATGCAGGACTGAAGCAGCTCCAGGTGGGGAGGGGGTGCAGCCCACAAGGCGGGTCGGACAGGGCAGTCCGTATGTGCAGATGGAGGGGGCTGGGTTCAGAGGTCCCATCATCACGCCATGAAACAGACAATGGGAAAAATGGTGAATTGCAATGAACGGACTCCAGTCAAAATAAAATAATTTGAATATTGTAATTACATTCCATAATCAAAGGAATGTAAGTCTTTATGTTATGGAGCCAACAATGTGTGTGTGAATCAATCAATCAATAATGAGTATTGATAATTTTCCATCTAGGTATTGTTTTTAATATAGAGACAAATTAGTTACAAATTCAAGAGATTCAGCAGAAATCCTCATACAGTGGTAAGTTTGTTAACTAAATGGTATGTAATGTACAGTATATTTTTTCAGTCTACAAAAACACTGCACAAACAGTTTTAGAGGTTAAAACATGGTATTACGTCCTCTTGTACTTTGCCACTAACCAGAATGATATAAAGACCAGTTTGGGACTCTCATAAAGCTCCCGCCCCCCTCAAACAGGCTACATATATTTGCAGAAATGCTTTGTCAGCTTGTGGAGAATCGCCCGCTACAAGTACTGGTGATTAATGGCACTGGGAATGACTGCTCCAACGTCTTTTAATGAGTGGCCGTATATTTTGGTGATGGCGGCTGCCGTAGCTTCAGCAGTATTATTTACGGACATCATTGAGAGAGAAATATACCATAAATGTCATATATCAGCTATAGGCCAGAGGTGTACGAGAATGTATACTGTAGTGGATTGCATTTTGTGGGTGACAAAAAATGAGCTTTCTTCATGAAAAAGAAAATGTGTCAAAAGTGCCTTGAAGGAATTCTCCATTGTGTTTGTATGTTCGTACACTTCTATGTGGTTGACTTTTTTCCATCTTTATTTGTGGAGTATTGAGTATTGCATGCATTGGAAAATGTCCCAACTTGAGTCAAAGTTGAAAGTTTTTAAAGCAAAACAACAATACTTTCTTTTTTTAGCAGCATTTGGTGAAGAAATTAGGCCACAACATTTTGGTTCATCGTGTTAGAAAACATACTGAGTGCTGATTGGCTGGGTGAGCGGAGGTCAAACACACAAACATGATACATTTTTGTATTTTGTGATTTTGTGTATTTTGTGAAACATTAGGTTCTCCAGCTTGAAATAGTATTATAATTATTTTTCCTCAACTATTACTATAACTGTAATCCATGAAAAATCAAAAAAATGTCTTTTCAAAATCGCATTGCTCGTCCAGCGGCTGCTGCCACCACGATGATAAACATATAAATGATCACCATTGGTAAACAGTTAAAGACTGTGGTTTGTGCGACAGTGAACCTCATCCTGCCGTGACTCCCTGGGTGGTGTTTAGGCTGGTGTGACAAAGCCCCTAAAGCCCCCCTTCCCTGAGGAGGTGGTCCGGATCATAATAAAACTGTTCCTCTGTTCAAAGTGACATAAACCCGTATGACAAGTCCGCTCTGTGATGTGTAAATCTTGTCGCCACAACATTAAAACGGATCATCCAGCACAGCTTTGCCACGCAGAGAAAGACTTTTATATTCAGTATTTATAAACTCATAAGCATTTGTATACTCCCATTACATACATAGTGGAAAGCAACACTACTGATCAAGGATGCCACCAAAAAAGGTGACGAGTGCTGCGGAGGAGGAACTGCTTGAAATACATCAATCGCTTAACTTTATGTCCGGGGAGATAAGCAAAGTGGCTCAGCAGCAAGAGAGGCTACTGGCCCTGCTTACTGAAGTGGCAGATCTAAAAAAGATCATCATTGCGAAAGACGCTAGAATCTGCGGCCTGGAGCGAAGGATTGATGACTTGGAGCAGTACACAAGAATGGAAGACATAATTGTGAGCGGTCTGAAAACTACACACCGTAGTTATGCTCGAGCAACAGCCGCGGATGCTACACAGAGTGGCCAGGACGCGCCCGTACAGGAACAACACACTTTGGAGAGACAAATTGTTGCATTTTTGGAAAGCAGGAAAATCTCAGTTGCACCCGAAAGCATAGCTGCTTGCCACACGCTTCCAACAAAAAACAAAGACGCGAAACCAACCATCGTAATGCGCTTTGTTAACAGGAAGCACAAAGTGGATCTGCTGCGTCAGGCTAAGATGCTAAAAGGCACCGGAGTTTATTTGAATGAACACTTAACAAAAAAGAACGCCGATATCGCCAGACATGCACGAAATCTCAGAAGACAAAATAAAATCCAAGGAACGTGGACACTGAACGGACAAGTGAAGATTAAGCTGAATGGTACGCCAGAAGAGGCCAAAGTTGTCACTATCAGAGAGCTGAAAGACCTGGATCCATATCAATGAACTATTCCATGCTGACAGAATTCCGACACTTTGGTTTAATAAAAAAAATGAAAATAAATAAATCCCATGTCAAACGCGCTGAGACAGTGATCACTTTTAGTTGGACTAAGTTAATTGAAACTGGACAAGAAAGAACATGGGAGTCACTTTTTCTGTTACTTTTTAATTTCAAAATGATGTTGGATTATGATATTGGATTCCTGTCGAAGAGATGGGCAAACAATATGACATTGGACACTAAAAGAAACGAAGAGGAATGGTCCATGACGCACGGATTACGCACAGCAAAAATGAGGTCAGGTGATTTTACGCACAAACATACAAGCAGGATCCTATGACCCTACGTCCAACTGAACATAAAATGACTAATTTGGAGCAAGACTTAGACCCGGAAAGACAATTCTACAATAATTTAGACATACAATGTGACTACTACACGGCAGAACAGTATAGGGAAAAAGTTAAAATGGATGGGAATTTGTCTGTAATACATATAAATAGCAGGAGTCTTTGGAAAAATATGACAAAAATTAGGGACCTGCTGCAATTATTCGATAAATTTAGTATCATAGCAGTATCTGAAACCTGGCTGGATAATGGGAAAATTAGTGGAATGCAAATGGAAGGGTATGAGCTACACACAATACATAGAAAAGACAGAAAAGGTGGGGGTGTTGCTATCTACGTTGACTCAACACTGAACTTTAAATTAGTTAAAAATAAATCAATAGCTGTAGAAAATGTATTTGAATGTGTTACTGTTGAACTTGAATCAAAGCAATTCAAAAATATACAAGTTACCTGTGTATACAGAACTCCAGGATCCCCCATAGATGTATTTACTGAAAAAGTCAATCATTTGCTCAATGCCAATGGGCCTACTACTAAAGACCAAATAATATGTGGAGATTTTAATAGAAATCTACTGAATGCACCAACTCATGAAAAGACCTCCGATTTTATTAATATGATGTATTGCAATTCCCTCCTACCAATTATAGACAAACCAAGCAGGATAACGACAGACACCACTACCTTGATTGATAACATATATACTAGTAAGATTGAAGGTAAAATAGTCGGTGGCTTGCTGATAAGTGATATAAGTGACCACCTTCCAGTATTCGCAGTCTACCAAAATTACACTTTTGAAAGTCAAACTTACAAGCCAGAATACAAACTAATACGTCATTTAACACCAGGAAGACTAAATAATATTAGAGAAGATCTGGACAAAATGAACTGGGAGAACGTGTATTCACAGACTAACCCAAATTATGCATATGAATCCTTCTTGTCCAGTTTTTTGGCAATATACAATAAAAACTGCCCACTTAAAGAGGTAAAGACTTATCTAAATGTTGTCAAAAAGCCGTGGATAACTAGAGGGCTAGAAAACGCATGCAAAAAGAAAAATGTATTATATAAAAAGTTTTTACAACTCAGGACAATGGAATCTGAAATTAAGTACAAAAAGTACAAAAACAAGCTGATAAGCATAATAAGAAAGAGCAAAAAGGACTACTTTGATACTTTATTTGAAGAGCAAAAACATAATATCAGGGGTACTTGGAAAGTGATTAATAATGTTCTTAAAAGGAGAGAAAGCATGCCTGCTGTCCCAAACTACTTTGTTCATGAGAGCTCCAGACTTGAAACAATAAAAGAAATAGTCAATGGTTTCAACCATTATTTTGTAAACGTCGGTAATAAACTGGCAAAAAATATTGTTATGCATAAAAACCTATCTCCATGTGATGCAGTAAACAGAAATCCAAACACTTTCTATCTTAATCCTACAAATGAAACAGAGATAGTGAAAGTAGTAAACAAATTTCAAACAAAAACATCTAAAGACTCCTTGGGAATAGATATCAATCTTATTAAGAACACAATCAAATTTATAGTACCACCGTTGACCCACATTTGTAATCAATCATTCAAAATGGGTGTATTCCCAAACTCAATGAAAATAGCAAGGATCTTTCCAGTGCACAAACAAGGTGAAAGACACCTGTTCTCAAATTATAGACCAATTTCAGTTCTCTCTCAGTTTTCAAAAGTAATAGAAAAAATATTTGTGCACAGACTAGATACATTCTTAGACAAATATAACCTCTTAAGCGATCATCAATATGGTTTTAGGAAAAACCGCTCCACCTCAATGGCCGTTATGGAGCTGGTAGAAAATATATCAAAATCAGTAGATTCAAAGAAATACAGTGTGGGTGTCTTCATTGACCTTAAGAAAGCTTTTGATACTATAGATCACAACATTCTATTACAGAAATTAGAAAAATATGGACTTCGAGGACTATCACATTCATGGATACAAAGCTACCTACAAAACCGATCCCAATATGTTGAGATATATAATAAAAAATCAGAACTATTAAATATTACCTGTGGTATCCCTCAGGGATCAACGCTTGGGCCAAAACTTTTTATTATTTACATTCATGATTTAGTTACAGTTTCAAAAGCACTGGATTATGTCCTGTTTGCGGATGATACTACTCTTCATTGTGCAGGTGATGACATAAATCAGCTCATACAATTGGTGGAGGTGGAATTGCATAAAATTAAACTCTGGTTTGATATCAACAAATTATCACTAAATATTGGGAAAACTAAATATATAATATTTGCAAAGCGGAACATTTCAAACCACGTTGAAATCAATCTAAATAACACTCCCCTGGAACGAGTCTATGAGAACAAGTTCCTGGGAGTGACTATAGACCATGTGCTCAGTTGGAAGTCACACATAAATAATATTAGAAGTAAACTGTCTAAAGTAATAGCAATAATATATAAATACAGATATATCTTAAATAAAAAGAGTCTACTTATTATATATAACTCATTAGTAATGCCCTATATTACATATTGTATTGAGATATGGGGCAACACTAAAAGTAATACTAAACCAATTTTCATACTGCAAAAAAAGGCAGTAAGAGCAATTACATTATCAGCCTACAACGAGCCAACAAATGCACTGTTTATACATCTACAAATATTAAAATTCTATGATTTAGTCGACCTTTATAGTTTGATAGTAATGTTCAAGATTAAAAATGACCTTCTGTCTGAACCACTACAGAAACTGTTCACAATCAGAGACAGTCATTATGAACTGAGAGGAACAGACATGTTCAAAAAACAAAAATGTAGAACTAATGTAATGAAAAGCTGTTTGTCTATTAGAGGGGTTGATCTCTGGAAGGGATGCACAAACGAACTTAAAACCTGCAAGTCACTGTACCACTTTAGAAGGATGTTTAAAACTATCATTTTGGATGGCTACCTGAACTCAGATTTCTGATGTTGATATAGTTGCTAATTTAAATGCTATTGTTTACATTCACTTATACTAATGACACCTGTAAAAAGGGTAGGCAATATAAGCATTAGCTTCAGCCTACTCCTTTTCGGTCTTTGTTTCTGCTGTAATTTACTATCCTGACGATGTGTAAAATGCACAAGTGACCGAAATAAAATAAAAGACTGAAGACATACATACACACACACACACACACACACACATACACACACACACACACACACACACACACACACACACACACACACACACACACACACACACACACACACACACACACACACACACACACACACACACATACACACATACACACATACACACATACACACATACATACAGTATATATATATCTCCTATCCGGCCGCCGCTTCAGAGTCCCAACAAAAAGTAAGAAAATATTCCTCAAACCGGTAAAAGATTTTGATATCTGTGGACTTCCTGAATGTGGACCATGGAGCAGAGCGACGATGTAAGTAAGCATGGTTTATTTATATAGCGCGTTTTACAGACCAAGATCACCCAAAGTGCTTTTCAATGTTCAGAAACAAGATATTTTTCCATTCACACACAGTGATGACGGAAGCGAAACGCCAAACACACTGGCGCATCAAAGCCCCCAACCAACACCATCCATTCAATCATTCATTCATTACATTCATACCTA